GGCAAAGGAAAAACCCGTGTCAAGGCTGGCACTTGCATAAATAAAAGGAGAACCTCGTTTTTAACATTATATGCGGCAAAGTTTGGTTCGACGGCGACTTCTTTGTTTGAAATCTGGATGCCAGCGTGGAGCTCCGCCGATACCGCTCGCTTTCACAAAGGACTTTTTTTTCTTTTCTTGACAGAATGGTACTCCTCCTTTCTTCTTTGGACCTTTTTTTGATTCTCTTTTTAATTTTTTCCAAGGGCTCTCTTCCGCTTTTGATTTTTCCATGAGCAAAGAGCTTCTTCCTGTGAATTTTGTCAAGTGCGCGATTAAGAAATGACATGAAAAACGAGCCCCAAGATGAGCGGTTGCCGCGAAAATTCCCCTAGGGCATTTGCCTGGGTCCGAGATTATGACAGCTTCTTGATTTCTTAACTTTTATTCGAAAATACGTTTTTCTAAATAACTCAGGCGCTTTTAAAGATTTCGGAAATTTTTTTATGCGAACGTTAGGTTAACTGTTTGAGTTAAATTTAGTCAAATAAAAGGAAAATGGATTTTTTTCGGCCTCTGAGGATGGGTACTGGTTAGACTGGTTAGTTAGGTGAGATTTCAGCTCGATCGCGTTTCACATGGATTCATGAGACAAAGCTCAGTTTGATTACCTAGATAATCAAGTCGAGATCTTTTGTCCCGTAAGTAGACTGGTGGGTTCATGTGGGAATTTTTCAGTTCGGCAATTGAGATTTCTCGGGGCCGGCCCACCTTATCATAGGGTCAAATTAATTAAATTATTGAACGGCAGAAAGATTTTAGGTGAGCCATCGTAAGCGGAGTCAGCCCAGTGAAGAAGACTTTAAGACCGCTGAAAGTTTTAACCTTAAAGAAATTTTTTATTTCATTTTTCAATTTCATTCAACCCTCAACGATTCAGTTGGCAGAACAAGGGATATTGCGTGGCATATTGTTATCTAATATTGCTCAGAGGATCGTTCGATAAGGGCAAGGATTTAAATAGATGTTTCAACGACTGAAAATTGTTTTCGACCCTTTTGAAACAGGTTCTAGATAAGATATCGAATTCCACTGTGTATGAAATACATTATGACCGATGCAATGTAATAAGTCTAAAAAAGTGGAAGCGTAAAGAAAACAGACTTTGGTTAGCTGAAGGAAGAGAACGCATACGTCGCATTTCGCGTTTGGACGCGTAGAAAACGCGTTCTTTTGGCGTTCTAAATGAAAACTGTGTAATCAATACGTGACATATGGAGGAAAGCCCTTCGCATACTACGGAAACAAATATCTATGCTAAATAGATAAAAAAGAAGTTTGATTTTAATCTATTCCATCCTTGAATTATTACATAATTAAAAATATCTCTAAACTGCATACGGATGAAAATGACGAATGATGCTCCATTGCTTACTTTTCAAGATTAAATAGTTTCTCAGTTACTCATATTACCTTCCGCTGGACTGCAAACTTTCGCATTTTGGCAAATTACCTTTGTATGTCAAGCTAAGCTTAGATTTTAAAGATTTCCGTCGTTATTTTAATGAAACTCCGAAGAGTCTAATTTGCAATTTCAAGCTTATATCCAAATTTAACTCCATATTTTACACTTCTTCTGGCGCAGATTTTCAATCTCAGCAGGTTACCTTTGGATGTCAAGCTAAGAGCTTAGATTTTAAAGGTTTTCGCATCGAGTGCTTTTAAGATTTGCATTTTCCAGCTTTTTTGTAAACATGCTTCTACCTTTTAAACCCTTTTAGGGGGCGTCAGATGTACAGCATGTAGCTTCAAACTTGTTAAGTTGTACAGATTTTCTTACACTCAAAGAAACTCAAACTTACCGTAAAACAAAAATGATAAAGACGGAAAACAGAAACAACAGCTTTAAGATAACAATAAACGTTGGTAAGAATTAATTATATTATTTTTTGAGTTACCTCCACTTGGAACCCTTGCTCGCTTTCATCAGTTGTTCACCGTTTCGTCGTGCGTTGTATGACACTATAAAACCAATGAAATTAATAACATCCAAAAGATTTTGCTTTGAAGAAAGATGATCTTCTTTGAACAGTTTCGAACCTGCTTATTTATCTTTTTGAAACGTCTTTCCTTTCAACGTGTTAAAATATATCAACAGTTCAAAAAGCTGCAGTTTTTTCTGTTCCCTCTGAATCCCGTAGCAACCAATTTAACACCTATCAGAGGTTCATTGATACACGACTTTTTTCTTTGTATGGTGATAACTTATCAGAAAATGGTGTTTTCTTTCTGAAAACGAAACATGATTGTTCCGTCCACGTCAGAAAACTGAGAAAGTGTCGTTAGTTCATACAAAAACGGTCACCGACCGGAAAAAAACGTGCAATTAAGATTAGGAAGGTTTAATAAAAAAATCGTTAACAGCAACAACGATAAGAACAACAATATCAAAATACCTGAGAGCACTGATGTCACCGTTTTAAAAAAAAAATAGCCATCGCTTTCAACCCTTTACGAGAAAATATGCATTTATTTGCGTGAAAAAGCGAACAACTGCGTGAAGATACATTCACGACATAAAAAGATCCTTTGTGCGTAATTCAGATTCAATAACGATTTTTTCATTTTAATGAACATTCAATATCGATTTTGAGCATTCTTATGCGTCATTCATCACACAAAAGAGAACAGAACACTTTCATATGCGCTAGCCTTCAAGTCATTAGCACCACCTTGAATGTCAATAGAGACAACACACAAAAATCATGCTGCATCATAAGAGGATTCGAGGAGGAAGGGAAGACGAGGAGGAAGACTATCTTATGGTCGCACACACGTACGGGGTGAACCGATTTACGGCAAAAGGCATTTTGGCGCGCTGTATTAGAGAGGGCAGGACCCAGGAAAGACCACGAGGTGGTGGAAACAACGTGCGCGTGGATGATGAGATGAGAGATTGCCTAGATGAAATCATCAGTCAAAGCTGCCTACTCACACTTTCTCGAGTAACAGTGAACGGAGGACACGGCTACCACTCAAACTCGCAAGGACATTGTACGGGATGCTGATTAGAGTAAAACTGGCAAGGCCCCTCCCTGCTGATAGAACCAGACTTGATGTGCTGAACAAGCGAGCCGATTACACAACCTGGTTTATGGACCATGCCGACAGGGCACCTCTGTGTTCGTCCTGACGAATGGGGCTACAACGTTTGGACGGCCAGAGGTCACAGTAGAGCGCGGCAGAGAGAGAGGGCATACCGTCAAGTGTGACGACACTTGACTGTGACCATGGTAATATCGCTCATCAATTGACTCGCATGTGTCTTCCTCAGAAGCTGTTGGCGGAATGAATGCTGCGCGTTTCGACAACTTCCTCGCACAGGCGAGGACAAATTTGGATCCCGACGAGGGGGTGATCTTCGTGTATGACGGAGGGCCGGCCCACCGAAACCCAAACTTAAAACGCTCTCCCCCAACAGTCCTTTCCTCAACATCGACAGCTGTTTGAAAGCGGCGATCAAGGCCGACATGTCGCGTTTAGAAATTGAAAGACGCATGGATAACAGAAATGAGGTCAGAACCAGTGGAATCTCACTGGGGGAGTTTTAAAGACAAAACTGCTTGAAGCTCTGCACAGAAGCACCGACAGAAACATCGACTGCAGCAAAAAGTGCACAATGGTATCATGTTTTGCAGACCTATCTGTCCAGACATTTGAATAGAGATTATTGAAGGTAAACTAAAATTCAGACCAAAATAATTTTGGGAAAGCTATAATTCAATTAGAATTCGATATTTGAACACTGAATGTGAAAACCGCTCAATAGTTTGTGCTCATGTTTTGTAATCATAAAAACGCCGTGCAGGAATGCTGCTGAATTGCGAACAGTGCGATGAAAATGGTAATAAATGGTTTCTGCGTTACAGTGTTTCTGTATTGTTTCTATTGACTTTCATGGTGATGTTAATGACCTGCAGGCTAGCGCAAATGAAAGTAAAATTTTTTCTTTTGTTTGACGAATGACGCATAATAATGCCCAAAAATGTAAATGAGTGCTTATTAAGATGAAAAGGTCAGTATTGAATCTGATTTAGGCGCAAATGGTCGTTTTATATCGCTAATGAATGTAACTTACGCAATTAATCGCCTTGTAAGAAATGTGAATGCGTATTTTCTCGTGATTAGCAGCAAAAGGTGTTTATTTCACCTTACATTAATACTGCTGAATAATATATCAAGATCGTAAGAGAAATGATCACTAATCTAAGAAGCTTCGATGGTTAAAGAAGTTCTCCTTGTCAACACCAAAGGAAATATATAGAGAAGCGAATTGAGAGTCCGGATTCTGATGTTAGAGTTTAAAGGACTAACAAAACTTCGGACTAGTTTAGATAGTATGCCATTTTGAAAGGAAATTTTGCGTTTTCAAATTTCTCCAGTGCACTGAGTACGGTGAGAGCTTAAGGTATAACTGAGGGGACTATAGAGTTTGATATAAAATGATAGGTGAACGATCACCTTGTCTTTCAGTCAACACACCTTGTTCAGTAGTTTAATTTTCTTAAACAAACACCTGCTTCTGATATTATAGTCGCTATATTTTCTTCGCCGTTGTTCATTCATCATGTCTGTAGATACAGTGTGTTTGGTGAGAGCTAGTCATTATTTATCGCCTGAGGAAGGAGGTCCTACGTCCTTTCTTTATTCTCTGTCGACGGACTGATCCGTGCCCCCTGAAAACCATGTGATCCCCGAAAAAAATCCTCCGATGCCCTCGACCCAGTCCTTTAAATAATTACCTTATTAAAGCTTCTTCGCGTGAGGGTTTATAATGAGTAAAAAGAAGGAGAAAGATGGAAACAAAAAAGAAAAATAACCTCCTAAACAAAAAGTCCTAGAGTTCCAGGCTCCTGGTGGGCTCGGCTTACGCCCTATTCGTTTTAATAGGGAGACTGGGAATTACTAGTCAGCGGAAACTCGCGTGACCAAAATTATGTGGCGTTTTCTCGAATCTATCGTGGGCAGAAATAGGTCTGAACCAGCGTGACTTGACAAAATAAAAGGGAAGGGTATAAAAGACCAGGCGAGAATGATGAGTAAGGACATTTGGAATAAAGCCTTATCATGGCGGAGGAAGCCGATCTTCTTTCCATCGGAAAACATTGTAGTTTAGCGTCGTGCAAACGACTTGATTTCTTGCCATTTCAGTGTTCTCACTGCAAAGAAATTTTCTGGTACGTTTACTTCTTACCGTGTTATTTTTCCCTTTGAAAAGTCGGATTATACTAAAAATTAAAACTGAGATGGAAAATGGGATCAGGGAATCGTGGAAGTTTTTCGACGGTTTTTTTCTCCGGCGAGGTTTTGATACTTTTCTTCGTTTGGATCGACGACTGAAACTTTGAGAAGTTGAAATTAGAAGTGAGTCTTGAACGTTCTTGGTTCAATGATTATTTTCATATCTTTTGCTTGTTTTAGTTTAGAACATCGAAGCCCAGAAGAGCACAAGTGTTCGAATTTTAGCTTATCAGATGTAAGTATCAACTTTTGCCGTCAGTTTGAGAAATTTCAGGAGTAGAATCAGGGATATTAATGACACAATTCTGCAAAACCAGTGTTGAGAATTACAATGTTTCTATATGATTTACTCAGCATGATCACAAATAAATATGCAGAGTATTGATGAATTTGCAATTTATGAGCAATTTTCACCAGCAGTTGTTGACAATTATGTATAGGAATCAATAAACATAATTGCGAAAAAAGTATCCTTGAAACGTTCGCAACCGTTTTCTCTCAGATTGCTCGGAAAGAGGATCTTGCCTGATTTTAAACCAGTTTTTAAACTAAGATTTTAACTCAGAAAAAACAAGATAATTTACTTTTAACTGAAAGAAGATTAAAAAATATTGATTTTAGGTGTTAATTGGTTAAAAAAAGTTGTGAATGACCTTTACAAACTTTTTTTGTTTCTGTCAATTTTGTTTCTTTTTTCCTTAAGGTTCATGTTCCTGTTTGCCCAATCTGTAATCAAATTGTAAAGAAGTCCCTAAATGAAGATGTTAATCAACAGGTCAGTTTGTTACATTTCATGTATATGTCTAGCTTCTCTCTGAGGTTGTATTTAGGTATATTATATTTTGATATAATCATTAGCATTTTATCATGAATGCAGCAATATGATTGCCTTGTTATCACTTTGTTAATTGAGGGTGAGTGGAGCAAGTAGCTTAACATTGAGTGGTTGTTAACAAAATAGAAAAAATCAAAAGCACAAGCTTGTCTTGTCATTAAGTTCTCAATGACTGGAATAGTTATTTAAAAACAATGCGATTATTGAATCATAATGTTGTTGATAAATATATTTGGAGCCCAGAATTTGGATATATTGGTTCATTTTAAGATCCAGGTTGTAGGGTATGTTAGATTGTAGAACCTAATGATAATTTTTACCTCTTCTGGTACATGTTGATGCAAGTCACTGGCCACCCAGTTCCCCAATATATTATATTTTATAGCCATGAGATATTTTAAACTTCAAGTCTCTTCACAGAGAAGATGCGTTTTCGGAGAAACAGCTACTAGTCTTCAGTATTGAAAAATTAATCATATCGACAACTTTGGTCTCTTGAAAACCCCTCATCTAGGAGGTGATTGACATGTGTCACTCATGGAGGTCTTGGTGTTAAAAGCGTGATTTCATGGTACAGTGTACCCATCTGTTAGTATATTTATTCTTAATACTGTTATTTGCCTTAATAGGTTGAAAGACATATCCTCAGTGGCTGTAAGAGCCTTATTGTGGGAAAACCAAAGAAAAGTAATAAGTGTTCTTTGAAGACTTGTCGTCAACATGGACTGATGCCATTTGTGTGTCAAGAATGTAATAAGAATCACTGCATAAGGTAAGCACTTACCAACCAATCTTGGAGTAACAAAAGTGTTATTTTGTTGTTCCTTCACTCAACCATGTGAAATTTTGTTGCCATTTGATAATTCATAACCCTTTAACTCCCAAGATCTGATTGTCAATGATCCACTCTAGCTGTTACACATTTCCTTGTAATTTAGTTTTGAGAATTTGGTTTTAGATCAAGATAACAACTTCGTGATAACTTTAAGTATTCTCATCACCAGTCTGCTGGATAATGTATGCTTATCATAGGGAGAAGTTACATGTTAATCACTTCTGGGAGTTAAAGGGGGTGCAATCTTGGAAAAAGTACCTCTTACTGGCCGAGTTTTAGGTTTGTGCTGTAAGTTACAGACCAACTTTTTTCTGCTTGGATTTATGGCCCAATGGCAAAGTGTGCAAGCCATAAATCAGCATGAAAAAAAAAAAACAAGGATCTGTAATTTATAGTACAGGCTAAGAAAATGAAGTTGGTAAGATACATGTATTTATTACTCCTCTGGGTTCAAATAGAAAGGGTAGATTTCAATTTAAAAGGAAAACTTTTGAACTTATTGAGCCATGCAGTGAAATATGGCCTACTACCTTGACCAATCTCACAAAACATAGATTTCTAGAACATTCCTTACCCCTGCTCCCCTAGTTCAGCTCTGTTTATAAACAGATCCAAATTTTATAATGTAACCTTAACTGAGATAGAAAGTTTTGACTTGGGAAAGGGGGTACACCAAAGGGGTACATGTAAATACCCAAAAAAGTTTCACTCTAAAAAAATATTGCATTGATAATTCAACATGTATAAATGATGTTGTCCATGATTCGAGTTCACCTTGGAAACAGTATGTGGATATTAAATCATATATTTCACCATATAATTTTAAGTTAATCATATTTTTAGTCTTTTCCTCATTTTGATTTTAAGGAAGTTACAAGGGTAGTGAATGAAAAAATGCATGGCCTGCAGTGATTCCTAAGCACTTACTTAAAAATTTTAGACTGTGGCTGAATAACCTTAGCTGCACAATCATGTTATTATTACAAATGTAAATTCATAATACATGAGACATTGAGACTCATATCAAAGGCTGACAAGATTTCAGGATCAAATGAAAAGTTTGTGAGATGGTCAATTGCATTTGTTTATTGGAAGCAATTTTCCAACCATACGAGACACCTAAGCAAGGATTTGTCAAAAAATGTTATATGTAAATATTTTTAGGAAGGCTGTGTACAACTGTGCCTTTTCTTTGATATTTTTTTCTGGTGAATTATTCAACAACTAATTTGTGCTAAATATCAAGAATATTTAATTATTTTCTCTTAAGTGGTCATAAAACTAACAACTGTGTTTTTACTCTTTACAGGCATAGACATGCTGAAGATCATTTTTGCACAGCTCTGAGGGTTCCAATGGTTTCCTGTGCATGAGACCAATGTGTAGAAAAATGTTAAATTATTTAATATGAATACAAAGTTGTTTTGCTTGAGTTTAGTTGTTACATCAAGGACTCTGTGTTAAGAGGGGTTCATTTATATGAATAACTACCAGTAGATTAACTTCATTTAATGAGTGCATCACTTGAACTGAGTAACTAGTGGCCCTCATTTGTCTTTTTTTTTCTTGGGAATTCTTTATTTTCATATGCTTCTTGTGAAACTCAGAAAACTGTGAACACCTTCAGGGCATTTGTGTACTGAACAGTTGTAATAAATTTCAGCAGTGCAAGCAAACTTCAAAACCACAAACCAAATACTGTTGTTGTTTGTAGTATAGTTTTATGGTATCTGATTAGCCTTTTCCTTGAGTGAGAAGAATGTTCCACACAGATTTCTTTGGTGTTGATAGTTTTCAGCATGATACTGTAATGTGGAAAATTTTTATTAGCCAAGGAACATCACATGAAAGTTTATTCTTTATAAATAAATTGTTCTAATCTATTGCTCTTATTATTATTATTATTATTATTATTATTGTTTTTACAAGTGGAAAAATGTGAAAGTTGTTTTTCCTGTTTTTGAATTTGTTAAATAATCAGTTACCATTTGATTAGTCGCACGTTGCCAGTTATCGTTTTGAGGGGGCTTTACCATAAATCTCCAAGACCTTTTTTTTCTAAGTAAATGATTAGTGGAAAGTTTCCATTTGCCTAATATATTTTTGAGAGATGTACATAATTTGGGTGTAAATAAAGTGGAATTTAAGAGAAGACATTCAGATAGTGCAGACAAATCTGTGAGAGAAGGAAAGAAGGGTGGATCAATGTTTTTGTTGCTTCATTAAGATGTGCATGTACGGCCTACCTGTTGTTTCGATTGGTTATATGGTTAAAAATAGCATTCTAGGTGATAAAAGCTAAGTTTTTTCGTTTGTCTCACGGTGTAATCACTAGTGATGTAGATCACGACGTTTCGACTGCATACTGCTAGTCTTCTTTAGGCGATGAGGTCGACTGGTCATGCGTGATGTTATAAGCATGATGCTCTGCTGTGATTAGTTGTTTTTGAACAGCTCTGATTGGTGCATTTCGATCCTTGCAGTTTCACTCAGTGATTTGCTCCCTCGGCGGTCCGCTGTCGCACGGCTCTCCTGTTGTTGTGTTTTTTTGATCGTGGGCATCCACGCTTCTGGAATTTCTATTCCACTATCCCTGTTGATATTGTTAGGGTGAAGTCTTATATGAATTGGCTCTTTGACTCTGCGCGTGTAGTAATAGGGGTCACGATCAATAAACTTTACTTCGTTCCAAAGTGGCTTGTGTCCGGTGTTGTGAGCATGCTCTGAAACGGCGGAGGTCTCGGTACGGACGAGTCGGATGTCTCGATCGTGCTCCTTAACTCTGTCTTGCATAGGTCTTCCAGTCTCTCCGGTGTACACCTTGCCGCATTCATAGGGAATCCTGTAAACTACGCCACCTTGTTTAGCCGGGTCGACAGCGTCTTTTGGTCGTACTAACTGAGATTTTAGCGCAGTCTCCGACTTGAAAACAGCGCGTACGCCTTGTTATTGTAGGAAACGGCGAAGCTGTTCGGACAGAACTTTGAAATAAGGTAAAACCGCAGTAGCTTTGAACTCGTTGGCGGGTTCGGCACTGTTGTTTGGTTACCAAGCATACTATCTGAATGTCGTTTCTTAAATTCTAGGTGATGTAAGCTCGTCCGGGTTTTACTATGCAAGTAGCATAGCAAAACAGTGTAAAGAAGTTTTAAATCGAATACTGCAAAAGATCCTGAGCTGCATTGATATTTCGTTTCTGCACCCTGTGTTTGGTCCAAAAAGCGCACGCCACCCTCTCAAGCAATCAGATGAACAAGGAAAAGACACCGCGTCGTGGTAAACCATGGGTATAATGTTGCTTTGGTTTTGCTTTTCTTCGCACCATGATTGGTCTCGAAAACTAATCTCCCCCTCTCTAAACCAATCTTCAATTGAACATCAACAGAAATGCGAGATTATCTTTTATTCCTCAGGCGCAGTGATTGATGACCTCTTGTCACCATCTTTACCAATCACATGCAAAACAAAAACCGACCGCCACTTGATCACACACGTTTTCCCGCGCTTTAGACACTTTCCTTTGGTTCTCCTTTGACAACAGTCAACCTTGCTCGTAAACGTATTGTTAATTCATTTTTTATTTTTCATTTTAACTTCTTTATTGAAATGTCAAGTTCAATTCGTATCAATTAAGCTGTTTTTAATAAAACTGGTTTTCTTTATTTAGCTGTTATTAAAATCTGTTATTCATATCGGTTAGAGAGCATGCATAGGTCAAATTAACCCTAGTTAAACAAAAACACATTTCTATTGTAGCAAGCGGCCCAAAGTGGCACTCTATAGAAACAGGAGTGAGGTGATTAGCATTCATCCGATGTTCAAAATGAGCAAATTCTAAAGCCAAAACTGGTCAAATACTGAGCAATTAAATCGATAGTGGCTGCCAAGTTTTAATAAATCACGCTACTACGCACTTAAAGAAATACTGGGTATCAAAGATCCGCCGTGATCTTTTTGTGAAAAATCCGTGTGACTCGAAAACTGAAGCGTTAATCGTTTTATTACGCGATCTGAGAAGGTTTCTATTACTGTAAAAATTGATTGAAGGTAAGTAATCGTTAAGATTTTAAGTTAGAAACGAAAGAAAATGTATATAACAGTGTGCGTTTTTTTTTGTGGTTACTCTGGTATTTTGTGTTGTTTGTCATACGAAATCTGATTCTAAACTGATAGAAAGCGTTCGTAACCAGTCAGTTGTTGGCTAGTGAAGAATACATCGGAGGAAGAAGTTACTTCACGCACTTCTAAAATGTCTTTTAATCAAAATTTTTGTGATAAAAGCTTTAAGTTCGTGGTGCGTTAAATAATTTGTGGCAAAATTTAAATATATATATATATATGTATATATAATTGAAAGAATCAAAGGGGACGCATCGATTCTCTGTTACACTGAGTTTCGCGCCCAAGCGCTCGTCAGACAGAGTAACAGAGAATCGATGCGTTCCCTTTGATTCTTTCACTTGTATATACCCAGCTCTCCTACCACAGCATCGAACACTTTATGCCAAGGTAGACTCTACTCCACATTTATACTCCATATATATATATATATCAATCGAGAGATGATGAGAAACCTTTATCTAGTACCATCACAAAAAAAATGATTTTAGAGAAAAGTAAAATCTTGTGGTGATTTTCTGTTGATTTTGTATGGTAAAATAATCCTCGATACATAAAAAGTGGATGGAATTGGAAGAAACCCTGTTTTCTCAGTCCAAACTGGGTGAAACTGCTAAATTTACATACAACTGGCTGTTCTTTTGTAGGTAAACATAGTTCTGCGGGCTACAAAGACTCCGCGCGTGGGACTTTTGGCGCTTGAAATTCGAGTCCTTAAAAGAATAAAAATTGTAAATATTATAATGGTTTTTGCACTTTTCGACTTATTGTCGAATATACTCTCAAGAGGATAAAGTGAGAAAAGATTAACCAAATAGAGGCCATTTTCCATCAACAGTCTTGGTGATAGCGTCAAAGCTTCATGAAAGGCCACTTTGAGTAACATGACACCTTGAAGCAGCTGAATAAATGAGGTTATGTTAAGCCAAGACTGCGGGGGAATATTCCAAAGATCCATTAAGATTAAAACTGATATCATTCACAAATAAATACATCGAAAAAGTGAAGGTTGTTAGCGCTGTGGATATCATCTAAAAATTGACCTCTAGTGTCACAGACCAGTGTACAAAGAGGACAAAAGTCCTCAGGAAAAATTTAATTTGTTACAGCAATCTTTGAGAGCAGGATGTATTCCTAGGATGATCGTTTGATCCCATGTCAATCTTGAGCCAAAGGAAAGTCAAAAGGCCGTCACCCCAACACTTTACCCATCCGGGACAATTGTTCTGTTCAACTATTTTCAAATCTTTTTTTTTTTTCGCTTGTGATATATTAACTTCTTGAAACCCTGTGGACATTGTCTTAAATTCTGACTTCAATAATAATTGCTTCAATAATAATTGCTTCTAGATATGGGAAGAGCAGAGTGTTTTTTCCCCTCCCTCCTTTTGATGTGCCTTCTGTTGGGCCACGCCCTTGGATCAAAATACAGAGAAAGGATAAAGGAGAAAATGGAAGAGCGGTCAGAAAGAAGAGAAGAGAGAAAAGAAGAGGGAGAAGGGGCGGTTGTTGGGTGGAGACGGAGACGAAGTCTTCAGGGTAAGGTTTTTAAACCTATGACGCTTTGAGCGATTTTATTTCCCGATTGCGGCGGATACAACTTTCGTTGCAGGCGTTGTATGACTTGATGGTCATGTCATGTAACAGGCTGTTTCTCGCACCAAGCTCACGATGAATGGGATTGCCCGCAAAACTCATGAAGAAAAAAATCCACTACTCTGTCAACTACTTTGGAAAATGGACTGAGCTCTAATCATTAACTTATGTGAATGATCGTTAGAGTCTGGGCACGGAATTGATTTTTAAAAGTGACTTTTTTCGCCTCGTGGCGCAGAGTAGTGGAGAAGGAGGGATATAATTTTTTTTGGATGGGAATGGCGGGGTGGGGGAGGAAGGTGGAAGTTCATTGGCAATGTCATATGTATAGCTTTTAAAACAACAGTATCTGAAGTAGGGTCATGTTCTAGTCCAATATTTACTAAAATCACTTCAGCAAGAAAAATGGACTCTCTTTTGGGCCATGAATAAAGGGGTAAGTTTCTAAAGAAACTGTGGTGCTGTGTCGGTGGGAGAGTATAGCAGGTAATTTAGTGTTAACAACTGGGTCTAAATTAGGGTTTGTTGACTAGAGCGACATTTTTTGGGCCGTCTGGGTTTGTTGACTAGGCGACATTTTCCTTTTCTTTACAGTTTCAAGACCAGAAATTAGCAAGGAAGAGGCAACAAACTTCATCAATGGATACGACTCTGATATCGACTAATTCAGGAATTATCAGGTTTATCCATAATGTGAATGGTGATGTATGTTTGTTCATCCTTCTCGTAGAATGTCTTGCGTACTTGAAACGAAAATAAAATTCAGTTGTTTTTCTGAAAAATAGCTTGTAGAATAAAATCCTCTTTATTCTTTACACGAGAATGCAATTTCCTTTCGAGCTTGTGAATGTTCGGATCAATGTATTCGCGCACCTACCCCTTCCCTAACCCAACAACAATCAACCGATGATAACCAGTTAGGGTTATCATTGGGTTACGGGAGGGATGGGTGCACAGATACTGACATTGATCCCAACTTTCACCCGGTCTTGAGGGCGTGTTACGCACTGAGACTTGTGCGCAATTTTGCTGCGTGCACAGTTTTATTCTCTTGAAATGAGATCAGTGATTATAAAATACCGGCGCATAACACCTCTTGGCAGAAGTTCTCAATGAGATGACGGCTTTTACGGCTAACGGTTAAAAGTTTGGCCATTTTACGGCTAATCGTTAGCATCATCCCATTGTTGTCACTAAAATTTGTTTTTACGGTTGACTTTTTGGATCAATATCAGTATCTAAGCAACAGCCCACCAGCCCCTCCCCCAACCCAACATTAACCCTAACTTGTTACCAATTGACTGTTGTTAAGTTAGGGGAGGGGTAAGTGGGCAGTTGCCCAGATACTGATATTGATCCGACTTTTTTAATGACTATCGATTTTAATTTCTCAAGTCGTACGTCATATGGCTAAAAATTTCGGCCGTTTTTCGGCTATGGGTTAAACCCACTAAGACCCTCCTGAAAAAAAACGAGCCTGCCTTGTTACGCAACTCTGCGCAAAGCTTTTAGACACACGAGCTGCAAAATTGTGGCGGTCTTTTCCGCGCGCGAGATACTTATGGGAGAAGCTTGGTTTCCCTCAATAAGCACAATTTTAAGAGAAGTTTCTCCTTTCCTTGTTCGCTGAAACTCACGAATGTCAGTAACACTAAGAACCAAAACTAATGGAGCTCCAACAATATTTTATTCTTGATGTTAACTTGTACAGGATAAATTTGTATTTGTACCAACCAGCGGGTAGAAGTCTGATTTTAAAAAAATGCGTAACCTTTTTTAACTTAACAGATTTTGAAATAATCCGCGTAGACGTTATGTACATTTTATTTGCTCTCAGAATTCATCATGAAAACTTTATAGGTAAATACAATACAATACAGTGCAATGACTGTTTTCCTGGTTTTGACAAAGACGACGTAAAAATTTGGATCGCATTGAAAGGCGACTAAAGCGTTAATTACGAGGATGAACTGACTTCAGAGTCAGTTAGAGATCTTAGAGATACCCGAGATACTGACCGAGAAAGCATTAGCATTGTAGCCATTCATAAACAGCGTTATAACTTCCTCAGCCGTCAGTCACACTTTGAAATTAATCAGCATACAACATTTGGAAGTGTTTTAGGAATTCTACCTTTGTTTTTATGAGGATTTCACGAATTACCCGATTCCTTCAAAAATGTGTGTACATTTTCTGCAAAAATTTAGTTATCTTCGATTAGGAAACAAAATTTTTTGGGATTGTCCTAAAGTCCTGGTGCCCCAGTCAAAGTAACTGAGTGCTAGGCAAACCAAAGAAAATTACGTCAGCCAATCAGAATAAAGGTCAAAATCAACGGGACTGCATATAAATGATTTAAGCGCGGGAAAACATAAGTAAGCGTGGGACAGTTCCTTTTTAATAGCATCTGATTGGTCTAGAGGGTTCCGCGGGATTTCTGGGCCACAGATCAGAATGAACCAAAACCGGCGCAAACCTAGTTCACTTTCAAGAATCAGTTGAGAAAATTCCTATGCATACGCATATAAATACTCAGTGTTACTCGTCAACTTAACTCTCAGGCTCCTCTTAGCTTAGGTGTTCGTTTCCTACCCTCAATTTGACCTTGTCACGGAACCAGTCTTAATCAACTTCTTTCCGTTGCGTGGCGAAGCAAAACATCCTCTGCGAAGGAGATAAAGCCATGGAAAGATATGCTTGAGGTTTTTTTTTTCTAAAAAGTTATTATTTCGACATCTCGGTCATGGAGGTTCTGAGGTAGCTATGAATGCATGTTTTATTTCGCTTTTTCAGCAAAAATCTTGAAAAGAGAGCGATCTTACACCCCTTTCATTAATAATAAAAAGTTTTCTGGTAGGTGATGACAAATTTAATTTTCAGTCCCATTCGACCTCTTCCTCCCCCACCCCTCCCCCCCCCCAAAAAAGGTTCAAACCTGTGTCTGTGGCTAGAAAATGGAAGGTCAAGATAACGCACAAACAACTATAAAAAACGTAATAAATAAATATAAAAATTTCAAAACGACATAACGTTTCATACGCAAAGCAACATTGCAAACGGTGTACAGCGAACGGCAAAAATCGATCTTTTCCTCGTCCGCTATTGGGCTTTTGTACACTTAAAAGTATAAATTGACTTTACTATGAACGAGAAATTTGATTCGTTGTTCTACTTTTTTCATCCATAGATTGGAGGAAAAGTGAGACAAATAAAAATAAATTTTTTCCGTTTGCCGTATGCCGTAAGTTTCATGCCTAAAAACACTCAGACTCTTTGCTCTAAATCACCGTCAATTGGCGCTCTTACTGCTGTGACAGTTTTGAAAATGAATGCTGCTTTGCTTACGAAACTGTGGTAACATCCCTTGGTTGGACTTTAATTACCTGATTTATCTGTAAAAAGTAATTATATACAATAACGCATCGTACACTTTCTAATGTTATAGATACAAAGCATGCCATTGTTCGACCTTTTTCAGCGGTGACATGATCATTCGCCCCCAATGACTTCTCTCGCTATCGCACTCATATATACCAGGCCCCAGGATAGCGCGGCCAACTGTCTTGTTGCTTCTCATTTTTCCACGTCCCAATAGAGTCAGCACCAGGCTTGTGTGGCTGAGACGCTGGATAGGGACCTGGAACGAGAGGGTGCTATGGAAAATTGGGTGTTTCTCTCCGTCTGCGGCGGGAGTACGTTTCGTTTTTACTTTATGTCCTGAGAAGACTTCTGTGATTTTAACCAGATATTCTACAAAATGATAAAGGAGAAACTTTTTAATAATTTTTCTTATTTCATACGCAGATCACAAATTGAGCTTTGCGTTCAACTTAATCATTGGTTATTTTTCCATCACGGGCACGTGTCTTAGCGATAAAAAGTCTATAACAAACTCCTTTAAAGTTAAGTAATATCTTTCTTGCGGAGGTAGTACTCCTCCAGAAGTCCCACAAGACAGGACAGGAGGAAGATACGACACTGAGAAGGACCATTTCATTTGTGAGGGAGATTAAAATGGATAAATTTTTTTGCTCCGGCGTCATTTTAACGTGGTCATTGCTTGGATGAATTTTTTTCTCTCGCGATTGTTTCCTTGACTTTTTCGGGAAAATTATTTTGGATGTCGTCTAAGTGTCTTCAGGAGCTCATGGGCTCCTTGTTTCTCGCATTTTATAATTTAAATTGTTACATAAACGAGTTTCAGCCTATTACATTACCATATTTTCCCAATGGTGTTATTCTTAATTTATCCCTAACGAATAGTACAGCAATTTCTATCGAGCGTCGAGGGTAATCCGGGTCCTTTTGGTTTTAACTTACTTTACTTTGTGATTGGTTTAGAAAACTCGCGCCGTCATCTCAACCAATCAGGTGCAAAACTAAGTAATAACGTAACTTGGTCATTTGCGTTTTCCCGCCATTCAAGCAGCGTGCTTGTTTTCATTATGAGTTCTCATTGGCTACCAATGATGTAACCTTTGTTCTGATTGGTTGGCCGCTGGGATCACTTTGGTTTTGCTTTAAAAACACTCAATTAGAAACTGGTCTTAATGACAAATGCACTCTTAAGCCTCTCACCTCTGTTTGAATGTGCGTCAAAGTGTATCAGGTTTCGAGCTTTTGTGATTCCCACCGTGATTGTGTTCATTCCCGGGTTATAGTTTAGTGACAATAAAATTTCGCCTCGAGTGTGGCCATAGGGCTGGAGAAATATGGAAAAATGAAAAAACATAAGCAAAATAAGTAATTTAGCGATCGAGCAAATATATACTAAAAACAGAAATGAACGTGGCGATATATAAATTGAAATATCGTAAAAAAAAAATTAGGGGGCAAAATTTATAACCCTCCCTAAATTATTTCTAGAACACATTTATTTTTAGGATGGGCCAATTCTATGACATAATTTATAACTAACATGGGGTCTGTGTGTTCTCCATCAAGATATTTAAGAAAAACGCGAGATAGATTTGATAGCACTCTCGTTAAACCACAGAAAACAGTTCTAAAAAGGTCCAAAAGTTACACGGGGGGGGGGGGGTTTCTGTGTCCGTTTACCTGAGTCTTTCGTTATTCCTGTATATTTTGGTCTCAGCATATAACCTATCTATCTGATTTTCAGGCTGGTTTTCATATGCGCCGGGAAACTTCTCGATGGTGGGGGATTTCACTGTTTCCCGACCGTCCCAGAGTTTTCTGACTAATGAAAACTGGACATCATAGACATCCCCGATTGTCTGGGATGGCCAATGACAAATCGGGATATTCGGAAGGGCTCCATTTTCCCGACGCGCCTCCATTTTTACAATCGGGTAAGTCGGTGATGATTTTAGATTTCTACCAATCCTCTTATTGCTTGGCTCCGATGCCCCTGAGTCACAAATCGAATAGCGTCCGTAATACATCAAGAAAAAAGTCTTTCGATCTCTCAATATACCAGTAAAATCTGAGACGGTTTGGAAACAGTGAAATGGCCGATTGTATGGAATTTCTGTAAATAAAGAAACTGGCTGTTTGTTGACCATTTTTACTGTAGCTATTAGCTCCCTGTGACTCGCTCTCACTGAACAATCATCATACCTGTGAGTTAAGTTTTAGATTTCTCTCGATTATCATAGCTCCATCCAACTCCTGTCCCTTCAGAGAGTACAGCGTGTGACCTATTGGCGTAAGTCTGTGTCGCCGTTTGTTGTCAAATACAGTGAAGCGCAAAGTTTTCTCGTTCAGTTCGGCGGAGGTGAGCTTAAAGGAAACATGTTCATTGAACTGTGGATCCTGAATACCAAAGTGAGTATAACTTTCAATGACAGGTTTCTCTTCAGGAAGTAGACAAATTTCCACCATTGGGTCACTTTTAATGACGCCGCCATGCGAGGCTACGCCTGGCTCGGTTACTAAGTGCCTGACCGGGAGCCTTCGGGCGCCAATCAAATGAATATTCAGTTGTTCCTCGTAGGTGTCGTGGCGAATCTCGAACAGTAACGTCCCAAGCGGGGGAGGGGCGGGAGCTGGTGCTGCCATGTGTTCATTTATTTCAGGGTTAGAATAAATAGCCATATCGATCTCCTGAACGGTGATTTTGTTGTTGGAAATGTTGGAGTCTCGCCTTTCATTTGGGTCGTAGCGCTTGGGAATTTCAAACTCACATGGACCTAGAAAATACAAAATGAGGTATTTCGCTTGAAAAAGAAAAGGTTAAACTGCGCTTTTCCGAAAAAGAAGAGGCTGGCGGGAGGATGGTCGAGATATAGTCGAAATAGCTAATCCCAAGTCATATGCTTCTCCTGGAATAAATAATGATCCAATTTACTTCACAAGCGTTGGATATCTCTTCCTATCTACAAGCCATAAAAAATGATTGTAACCAGAGATAACGAATTTTCGTTATCTCTGGAAGGTAAAATAATTATTCATTTCTTTAGTGTGTTGGATTTGTTTATGTAAAGATGAAAAATAAGAAGTATGATCTGTTTTCATGCACAATTTATTTTATTTCTTTTGTGTTCGGGACGTTATTTTTGTTTCTACTTTTTCGGAAATTAAAGTTGAAAATCAGAATTCCCTTTTGTCCCAAGCAGAATGCAACACTCCTCTGGCACGATTCAGTTCAATTATTCTTAGAGAGGAGGTTGGCATATTTACACATTTTGGATTTTTTAAATAATTATCCTATTTTAAAGCGAAAAATAAACAAAAAATCGTGAGCACACCGGGATCAACTTATTTCCTTTTTTGTCAACGCTTTTGAGCAAAATGTTTCATGGTATACAGTACAGTTGCCGCTTTAAACTTATCAACGTTAACACAGAACAACCAGGGAAGAATAACAAAAAAAGTAGATGTACCAAACAACACTACTATTGAACCGTTTGCATTTTCTAAGTATATCTGCTGTCGCTATGACAAAAAATCCCTCGAAAACATCAAATTTACGTCAGCACGACCAGCTCGTTTGTTAGAATCATTATCTTCGAGAACTTTTTCTCGTAATAACTGATGCCCAATGAAGTGCCTCTTAATATTTAGAAATACGTTTATTTTTTAGATAAACGTTTTGCACCCTTTTTCATTTACCCTAATCTACTTCAGAAATATCTGTGATGCACATTAACAGCTACGGCTGTTTCCTTTGTCGTATTTCATGCTGAAAAATCGTTTGGAATCGTTTGCTTTCACGAAACATCGTAAAATATGATCTAATCCATGCAGATGACTCTTCTAAGGTCCCTGATCAGATGCAACTCGTATACGTTTTTGCAAAACCTGTCAGTGTTTAGCCTAAGATTGTCTTTCGTGAACTGCAACTCTCTTAAAGAAAGTGATTGGCCATTTATCACACGCTCAGAGGACAAACGTGTTTTGAAATAAATTTAATGTATCTGTTTCGATGTTAGTGCCCTTCGGAAATGATTCGGAAACTTTTTGAACTGTAACAAGAAACACGTTTAGTAGAACGTACTAGGATCAATTTTGTTGGATTTCCGGTACTAAGTGGACAGTGAGCAAGTCTAAATATCACACCCCTTTTCTTTAGCTTGCAATCTGTTGTGATTTCGACGTCTTTCCGGCCTAAGTTAAATCAAAATGGGCTTTTAACTTGTGATACATTTTAAAATTTTACAGGTACGGTCTCATTACAATTTCTAAAATACAGCAAATAAGAAAATTTACAGCATCTACCTTTCGCAGGAATCGCCTTTGTTGTTTTGTTTTTAACCGTGATAGGGACACGTAAATTTGAAATGTCATTTCCCATGATGTTATGGCCGCCGCAAGCTTGTTTATCGTACTTGGAGTTTCTTTCGTTGTAGCAGTTGTTTTTCTGTTTTACACCTTCCTTGGTCTTCTGCTAATTCTTGTTGCTGTATGCAATCGCTTGCTTTTAACCTGACGACAGAACAGAAACGTGATTTGAAATCTTTACGTTCTCTCTCTAATAGTGCATGTGAATTCTAATTGCATGTGTCACTTCTCACGTTAATCTATTGCACCAATGTAACACCTGATTTGAATTTTAATATTTTGGCGTCTACGTGCGTAACACAGACTTACATTTAAAGCGCAGTCAACGAATTTACCCAAACACCAACTCAGGTTACAATTAATCAATGCCTTTTTTCTATTAAGTTTCTATTTCGAGACTTCCTCGTTTTAAAGAACTAATGAAGGACATTACGAAGAAGCTATCATGAAATTACCGATTTGTTTACTCTACGATGAGCTGCACATCTTGTTATTCGCCCAGCTTTGTAAATAAATGATGATATTTACCCTTTCCTGGGTATTTCTAGAAAATTATAGTCCTAGAGCTGCTGCTGACAAAATGAGTCCAGGATATTGAAAACGGATTGTTTAGAAATTTGTATAACTTTGTGCTCCGTTTGAATGCAAAAAATAATGAGCGCTATTTTCATTTTGATCAAATCAAAATAGGGAAAAAAATTTTCATCTTGACGCCACCTTTTAAAATGCTTGATTGATTTTCATTGAACTACGTCTACCATAGCTAGCATAAGAAAGAACACAAAGGAAGGCCTTATGTTTTAATATATAAATCGTCTCAATTTTAGTTTTATTTTATTTCAAATGACGCCAGGAAATTTGAAATATCATTTCCAACTGTGCAACGTGATCTCTTGTTGCACTTCGTTAATCATGAAGCCGGCGACATTTTGTGAATAATACGACAAAATATTACACAGTGGTTTATCCCGGGGCTTTCCATAAATATATAGTAGGGCAATTTGAAAGTGAAAAAAGAAAGAAAATAATGTTATTTCGATGCTTCCGAGAAGTATGTTGTTGATAAGGTTACGTTCAGATATTGATTATTACTTTCAGGAACTAGGAAGTTACCATGGATTGATTTTTATTTTCTTTCCTTACTTCTGGAGAAATTAAAATATATATTGGAAACTTTGCAGTTGCTTTTTATATATAAATTTCTCAACTTCCTAGGTTACAAAGTATGACGTTAAGAATGTCCTTTATCGGACTTGCTATTAGTAAAAAAAAAACTTGCTTTTATTTTTAGAACAACTTTCCTTTCGTTCTCTTTTTTTATTTTAATTCAAAAGTAATTATTGGTCATTCACGCAGTTTTTATCAGTCACATCTTGTTTTAATCTCAAAATTTTAAAATATTTTTTCACGTTTGGCTCTTCCTGTGTTTACAGACGTCTTCGACCCTCATCTGAAACTTCCTCTCCTTTTGAAGAACTATTACTTATTGATTTCTTATTATTAATGATATTTTAGAGAAGTAAATTCGAGGCCTAACACTTAAAGTCCAAATGGTTACCACACGAATTATTCTTCACAACTTTTATTTCAAAGTAAAAACATTAATATTTCTTGCGGCAATGCCTGAGGAAATCGAACTCCACACAATGTAAAAGGTGGCTTTCCTGTAGCTATGGTTTGACCAGCAAACATCAATCGCTAACACCATGTGGGCTAATCAAGGGGCAAGCGGCCTCAAAGCAACAAAAACCATGAATTTATCGCTTTTGATTCAGTCAGGAGAGGATGCACAGTGCACAATAAAATGGAGACACCCGAGGAATCTAGCACTAGCTTCATCTCGAGGAAAATCGGATAGCGACAGTGAAGCTTGGAAATGTAATGTAATTTGAAACCGTGCATTAGGATCATATATTGCTATCGCAGTTAAATGTTTCATTCTTAGAAAATTAAATTACTTCCAAACGATCCCAAGACTGGTACTATCTTTTGGCAACCTCCACTAATTTCATTCAAACGCAACACAAACTTAGGCAAATTTTTGGTCACAAGTCTATTTCAAACCAGAAAAAATTTCGGAATCCAAGAGATCCACCAATATCACTGATCACTTCACGTGTACCTCCGCCAATGCCGACTTCTGTATAACTTGCTCTTATAACAGAAAGTTATACATCGGTAAAACAGGAAGATGACTAGGTGACCAATTCGGAGAACAACTTCGCGACGTAAAAAGAAATGACAATGATGCATCCAAACTAGTCGTTAGACGCTTTAACCTCCCTAATTATTCTTAGCAGCGTATGGCAGTTTGTCGCATTTGCCTATATCTAGGTTGTTAGGAAAGTCGCAAAACTTTAGAGCAAAAATTTTTCTTTCAAATCGGTACTCTTAATCTCCACGGTATCAACGAGCGCTTTTCACTCTCTTGTTTTCTCGTCACCATATTTCCACCAATAGCGTAGCTCCATTTTCAGCATAGAAACACACACGCTACCCACAATTCCTCCAATCGCTCTGAAAAAGGGCTAACGCTCGAAACGTCCGCTTTTAAACTCTTTACGGTAGCCAATTTACGTTGTCAACTCTCTTGATAATAATAAATCACCCTGTTATACTCCCCCACCGACGCAGCACCGCAACTTACCCCTTTATTCATCCAGTAATTGTTAATTACTGGTCTTACAGGGGAAATGCTGATAGACTTAGAGAGATTTAGTGTGGACAATACCTGACTCATTCTTAAATACTAAGAAAAGGAAGGTTTATCCTTAACTGCTAATAAAGTAATCGTTTTGAGAGCAACAAACCAGTTTCTTTAAAGAAGCCGTCACATCAGTAATGTCTGTAAACAAGAAAACGATCCCGTACACGAACTATTATGAGATCCTGCATATTGCTAGCATAAGCTTTGACTGTAGCTCACACAGTCAGCAGAAAACTGTGGGTTATTACAAGGTAACTGCGCATTTGGTCGTGTAATTCACAACCTTCACAGTTCTCTGTATGTTTGAGCTTCATTTGGTAGAATTCGATGGGTTCGGATGTAACCGTTGCTAGTAATCGTTCCGCCTAAAAGGTAGCAATATTTTAGGAACATTTTGTAAACTATTTCATTTTCGGACTAGTCGCTCATTGGTTCAAGTTTTAACACGAAGAAGTCGCATATTTAGTTCAGGTATGTTTTTGGAGCTCAGAGTTGGAGTGTTTTCAGCTCAGTATAGTAGAGGTATGCCCAGAAGTACAACCTAGATCTGATGTCAGAACTCTGACTGTGAATGAAAAATGTTTGGTTGCTACTGGTTGCATAATGTACATAAGGCCAGCCACATCAGCAACATTGAAAGTACCGTTTGTTTAAGTAGAAAAGCGAAGATGGTAAACAATGGTGGTTTGACCAGTATGAAGATTCCTTTTCACAACTCACTTGATTCACTTAAACCGCTTTACTCGCTGATGAATTTGACGCAACACAGGAAGAGCTGAATAACGAAATGCTACGTCACATTTATGCGGTCAATAAAGCGGGCTCAAGCGCACGGAGTTTAAAATTTGGCGAAATTTGCGTAGAAAAAGGGGCTGGTATTTGAAACCGAGGCATTTTGTTGTTGTCGAAGGCATTGTCCTATTTCCAGTGTTTTTAGGGAGAAAAGTAATTTTTTAAAATATTTAGGGGGGTACAATGTTTTTGAAGGTTGTTCTGTTAAAGGAAAAGCGGTAAGGGAAACAATACCTAGAAACAGCAAAATGTAAAATCAAACATGCAAACGACTCAAAATCTGTATTCCGCGCGAAAGTTTAGCGCATGCGCAGACGTTATTCAGCTCTGTCCGCAACACCTGGAATACAACAGAAATAGACCGCCAAATCAGATGGTCTGCGGCTCCATTTTTCTACGCCTCACGCGTTTGAAAAAACGAATAACAATATTCTTTGTTCGATGACCAAGCGTAAAATTCAAGGCATATTCTTTCTTATCCTAGATTCAGGAATGGGATCAAAGAAACGACAAAAGGTTTAAAATTGCATACCTTCGCTCTTCTCAATTTTTTAATCTTGAAAGTAAACTGATTCTGCTGGTTTAGTAGTCTGACTGAAAATACTCAGAGAGGTGCCGTCTTTACTGGAAGGGGTACGGAATAAGCTAATGAACGCCGGATTTTTAGTAGAATGATTTATTTTTGAGGCAGCTCTTCTGCGAGCAAGGTGTCGATTTCGATACATTTCTTACGTCATTGATGACGTAAAAGATATATAACATCATTTCGAAATGTTTTCGTCAGCTAAGTCGCTCCCAGGCTCCCCCGCTAGTTTCTACTTTATATCATTGTAATAGTTGAGTACAGAAGGGGACAAAGTATAAAGCATCAGATAACAAACTGAGAAACGTTTTCAAATTCAATCCTGCAAATTCGAAGTTTTATTTCGTTCACTTGGGGATTTATGGTCATTCATGTCTACTTCTGAAAAGCATTCAAAAACCAACGGATAGAAAAAGAAAAAGGTTCTATGCATTTCAGCCTCACAAGGAGTAGAAAAAAAACTGAAATACTTTTTATGATTATCGTGATCATGCAGTTACAAGTAAAAAGGTTTTTGTTTTAACTTAGCCATTGAACGACATGTCATATGAACTATAGCATAATCAATTCGGGTTTTTTTGCTTGACTCAAAATCATTACTGTTTTATAGAATTTACAATGCCTCGATTCCTAACGAAACAACAGTAATTGTCAAGTAGAACAAGAGGCTAATTGCCATATATTTATGCAAACGGACCCCATTTTCAAGCTGTCAGACACCTGTGTGTTGTCTCTACATGTCTCATGGTGTCCTCAAACCGATTTGTTCAGATTTATGAAATCTTGCGTAATCCCGGAAGGAATATTCACTGTGGCCCCGGTCAAATCACATATAAAGTAATTGTATTATTTCGAGCTGTGCATTTGATGATTTCATTTTTAGTTTGTTTGATTCAATACGAATAATATCCACAGGTCATTTGAGTTGTAACTTAAATACCCGAACTAAATCTCCTTTTAATTCGGAGATTGTAATAAAATCTTTATATACCGGCGTTCAAATCAAACAATAGTAGGGAAAGAAAAAACCGCTTTCCTGAACACTAACGCTCTACAAATTTTGCTTGCTGGTGGAAAAATTAATTTTCGAATACACTGTCGTGTTTTGTTTGTTTTTTTTTTTTCACCAATTCAATTCATTTAGCATTACTACCTTTGATTGCGAGATCAAAATTTTGTATTTCACTTCCTCAGTCTGAACGAAATTCAGATCTCCTTTGTTTTACTCTGTGAGTAGCAGTTTCAATTTTTTTCTTCAAATGAACGAAATCAACGACTTCTCCGGTCGTTTTTCATTTTTGCGAGGAGAGTTCGAACAGTTAAAAACGACTCTTAAAACACGTTACTTCGCGTTGTTGATTGTTTCAATGACTGCACTCGGGGACATAACTCATTTAAAAATCTTTTTATCAAGCTGAGAGCAGTGAGAAAATACCATTTGCAACAAATTTTTAAGCCGTTTTTTTGGGCTCTACGTACTTACCTCATTTGATGCAATCCGGAAGATGTTGTGGTAAATTCTTCCTTTTTTCCAACGAGATCAACAACGAGTTTACGTCGGCGAAATAAACGTATTGACTTATTCGCCCACCTAATAAAAGCAATATTCCCCGCCGTAGTTTACACAGGCTGCCGCCGAAGTAGATAAATTACGAAATATTTACTGTTATTGGCTATTGTCAAGGCAACAGGAACACAAATGAATAGTGATGTATTGCGTTATTCCATAGGTGTTAATTTTACTCTGCTGTCCATTCATCGGAAAAAACTATTCTATGGAAGTTTTCCTTCGAAACAAATTGGTCAGACTATCGTTCGAGTAAAAAATGCAGAAATGCTTATTCCTCAGACGCTTAGTTTAGATCGGATTACAATCTCTGACATCTTCCTTTCAAGCTCTTTCCATTAATGCTTTAGGCCAAAAATTTTAAGATTATGTTAAATGACATGAGCGTGTTTTCTTGTCCTTCTCTAATGAATTTATAAATTAGCAATTGGGCCTTTATTAACTGCTAAAAGACATTGTGGGAAAGACAAAAAAATAAAGAGTGCTGGATTTTTTGTCAATACCTGGCGTGAAGTCGTGACTTTACCATTAAATAGGCATCTAAATTTTATCGTTGGGAAGGCGTATCTTAGAAGACAGATCAATTCGCCCTGTTGCATAGTGAAAAAAGGTCAGTTATTTTAAGTTTTGAGCCTGATCGAATCCAGAGGAAAAAGTTGAAAAGGCTGAAAGGTAAGTCGTAAAAATACGAGGAAAGTCCGACATTAATCCGAAATGTTTTACTGATATCCGTGAAAGTATATCGCTATTAATTTCCGATCTATTCTTATTTATTGATTAAAGACGAGAAAGTTAAGACAGGATGAAGGTAAAATACAGGTTATGCTTGGAATTACTCAAGAATGGTTTGAAGCAGGTGGTTAGCTGATTGCAAAACGATCATCCTTTGACTGCTAGGTGCTCTCACAAAGGCTTGCGTGAAAAGAAGGGGAAAAGAAGCAATCTGTGGCTGCGGAGCAACGTATTCTTCTGTTGATTCGTTCTAACTTGACAACCTCATCAAAAAAAATAGCAAGGGTAAAAAACAAGGTAACACTCTAAGAAAAAGAAATATTAAGGTTTTTTTTTTGTTAAGTAATAGAATTTTTCCTTTTTTTTTGGACTGAAATTAGTAGACCAGACGAAATCGACGTACCATAGGTTCATTTAAGAAACTAATTGAACTCAGTGGAAAACCTCGTTCATGAGATATTTCAGGTCTTTTGCGAGCTTAATTTTTGCCATCTATGGAGAATTTTATTCGATACGACACACACACCTAATGATGGAACTTAGTTTGTTAGAACAGAGTGCCTCTGCGATGAATATGTTGTTATCAACCTGAATCATTTCCGATTCTATCAGTTTCGGAAAGCATTTCATTAACTTTCAGAAATAAAAAAATGTTATTCTCCAGCCTAAGTCGGTCACACTGTCACTACCTTTTCGATTTTGTTTCGTGTTTCGCGTTGCTCTTTGACAGAACAACTCATCTTCACGCGGAATAACGAACTAAATTCTTTGCGTCTTTATTGATAATCAGCTTAAAGGTCTTAATTCTGGTGGATTGTATTCCTTTGTGCGAATATTTTCTTTTCTACGCAGAATTTTGCATTTTGTTTATTCCCATATGTTTCTTTTCGCTTTTGCTGCGTGCTTTGCATTTCTTGCTGTCGTGGTAACTCTTCATTTTTCACTCAGGATAACGAGCTAGTTCCTCACCCTTTCAAACTATGTTTACAGTGGTCTTATCATGTAATTTCTTGTATGGGTCTGACCAGGAAGGGATTAAAAAATAATTAAGTGTGAGAAATTGTGTTATACAGCTTCAGAACCTAATAAAACTTAAGCCCTTACTTAAAGTGTTTTTACCCAGAGGAATGAATGATAATTTCTCACCAAAATATTGATATTGTAACCGGCTGCCGGGTGATAGGAAAAGAGGAAGTACTTGACGACAGGGTATCGTCTTGATATCATTTCAAATCCTTACAAACACAATAAAGGAAATTGTTTGACAATCAGAAAAGGAGATTCAACAATTAAGACTTGAGAGTGAAATTCAAACGGCGTCTGAGGAACATTTAACCCTTTAACTCCAAGATCAAATTTGTAATTCTCCTTACTATCAACCATGCAATTCTTACAATGTTATTTCAGAGAATTTCGTATTGAATATTATCCCCAAATTGATATTTTTCTTAATTCTCAACACTTATCTGGTTGATGTCGTATTGATATTGTAAAGAGAAATTCTGTCTTGGTCACTAATAGGAGTTAGAGGGTTAACAAAAGTCTTATTTTTTGTAGGATATTCTTACTTAATGACAAAAACAGACAGTGAAATTAGTATCCAGAGGATAACCTGACACTTCTTCTGCCGAAATCTAATCAACTTTCTCTGAAATGATCGAAGTCATAATGGCACTAAAAGTCCACCTTAGAAAGAAGTTCACTTTGCATAGAGTTAAGTAAGAGAAAGAAATAGCTCTCTGAATATTTAAAATGAATAGCAGGGAACAGTATGCAACTGTTTTTTAATTAAGGTAGATGTCTGTCTACTGGGCACTCAGTAAACCTTTCACTGTCTTGAAGGGCCAAAGGGAAGTCTATGCATGTGCGACTCACCCAATCACAGCAGCAAGAGATTCCATTTGATCTCACACCAAATTCTCAAATAAAATAGTATTGAATTATCATTTAAATCTTGGGAGGTACATGTACAAGGTTTAAAAGAGAGAGTTGACTATATTAAGTGAATTAGATGCAAAACCATGTAATATTGTTTCACCCATGGAAAGGTTAGGATAAGCTCCTGGCTAGTCTGACAAGCATGTTTTTTTCAATTACAAATTTTCCCATTTTTCAATGAGAAACATTGCACATGTAACTACACTGTTATTTTCTCTCTAGTTATACATGTAGTGAAATCAAAACTAAAGTGTACTTTTTTCTTTCATTTTATCTTTCTTTCTTTGTTAAATTCTGATGAACTATCCACTCCAGTTGCAGTTCAATGTCCACTGGCATATTGATACGTTTTTTTTTAAGTATCTCACTCAGCCAAAGAGTGGAACACACACATGTGATGCAGTACCAACAGGTTGTTACAGCCATCATTTACAGTACAAAGCTGGATTCTCCACCATTTCAGTTCTAGTACACATATGACTTAACTGAGAATGCTTATTCAGAAACCTAAAAAAGAAAAAAGTCTGTTTGAAAAGGCAATAAAATGATTTTGAGTGCAATTTGGTGTTGGTAAGCACAGCTAAATTTTTCAAAGACAACAAAATTGTACAAGCCCACAGAGCAAGTACAGTTTATAGCCTTTGAAAAATTTACAAGTGCTTTTTACAAATTGCATGAGACATCATGTTATTATTTGCTGATAATGTACATCCAAAAACCATTACAGAAAATCAAGAGTAGTTTGTGCACATGTTACAACTTTGTACCTGTGTTTAATGAGAATGCACTCGTTTTCAGCTGAACATAAGTGTGTAATTTATTCATGTACAATATTAAACTTAGTACTATTAAAGGTCAAGCAAGCACAGAGATTTACAAGAGTCTTTCATTTAACTTTCAATTCTGAGTCACAGTGACAGGCCGCAGTAACACCTTGTCTTTAATCACATCACCCACCACTGGGTTCTTGGTTGATGGAAATGAGCAAAGTCACAGCAAATATTGCTTGGAGGTTGTCTATGTGCATGCCGTGGAATGATGGAAAACTACTGGGGCACTTCTGCACCTGAGCAAATTCCCCCCTCCATGCTGGTGTTTTGCTTGTCAACAATGACCTTCATGTACATTGTAAAGCTTGCCTGGGGCATAGAGAAGCGTGGTGAGGCTGAAATAATATACAACTATACAAACCACGTGACCCAGGCAAAAATTTTGAAGGAAGTAAAAGGAAAGGAAATGATAGAGTGTATAAAGTCAGCACATTTGTGCCAAAGACCCTGAATTTCAAGCTTAATGCATGAGAAAACTTTTTACCCAAATAAACTAAAATCTTACTTTTCTCCTTGGAATATTAACAAGAGGTCAATGAACACAGTCATTACCAGTTTACCTCTACAATTCTGGATGTCGACGTCTGGCATTCATAAAGAAGTTTGCAACTGTGTCTCTCTCGAGCCCAAGTTCTTCTGCAAGGGCATTCTGCATCTCTTTTGAAGGCTTTTTAGTTTCTTTAAAAATAGCAAAGAGTGCTCTTTTCTGAGAGTCTGTAAAATACAACCTTGTTTTCTTTTTCGGTGGACCAGTCTCTTCTTCCCTCCTGGCTTTAGCATCAAGTTCCAAAGCAGCTGCAAAGACAATAGCAGCATGTGTAACTTCTCCTGATATTGTCACTTCAGTATTCAGTCTGTAACTTGTGAGAATAAACAAACTCATCATTAAGAGACCAGATGCAAAATGTATCTCTCTCTATGTACAACACCAAATTCTCTTAAGTAACTGACTTCAGAAGGCTAAGAGAGAATAACAAATCAAATCTTAGGATTGTGAACCTTTTCACTTCCAAGATCTCTTTAGTAATTCTCCTTACTCTCTTCCATACAATTCTTATGATGTTACTTTTGAGAATTTGATATTGGATCCACATATAACCCCTAATTGATAGTTTTCTCGGCTCTCGTCACTAGTCTGCATGATATTGTATCCATATTGTAAGATGAGATTCTCTCTTGGTAACTCATTGGAAATCAACCCTTTAAAATACACCTGCACCTTGTCCCTGTAATATCCATACACTGTACATTATCCAGCAAACAGGTAATGAAATTACTCAAACTTGTCAAGCAAAAGTCCTCATCTTGATCTAATATCACCTTCTGTAGGTGTACAACAAATATGCTGTGCTTGAATGAACCATGGTACACAGCAGGTCAAGGTTTTCAACACACTAGCTGACTGACAGTCTTACACTGCTGGTACATTTGACAAATCAAAGTAACCTAGCCAGTTCAAAAAATCATAAGCAGGGTTTTCATTGCAATGTGGTAGATGTATCATCTGAACTTAGTAGGCAGCTAAATAGGCATGTTGCAAAGCA